TGCACATTTTGTATGTTTTCTTCATTTGACACACTTAGTTCATTTCATGGATCTCTCCCCTAAAGAGCTGATGGTCTGAATCAGATGTGTTCAATAAGGGAGACATGCAAAATGTGCAGAGTTGGGGATCCCCAGGACCAGGATTCAAATCTGCTCTAAAGGGGCTGTTTAGAACGCGCATTTTGCATTCTACTGTGCTGCTTTTCCATTGTTTTTTCCCATCGTCCCATCGGGGAAAACTAAGCATAAAACTGTTGTTGTTGTTATTGTTGTTTTTATGCAGGTTTACTAGACAAATTGTGTTCTGCCTTTAAATAATTTCAATTCTAATTAAAATGTCCTTAAGGATAAAACAATATATCTCAGATAATTCTGTAAACTTGCTGTATTGCTGGCACATTACTATCATATTAAAAGTTACAGTTAACAACGGAGCCCAAACTATTGAATTCAGTTGCTATTTATTTTTAGATATTATAAACACTCAAAAAAAAGTTAATTGCACAAAAGGCAGTTTTTACATTAACTTTGAAATATAATTACATAATTATGAAGTGTTTCTTCTCCAATTCAGGTTAAGTAAAATATAATGAATAGATAACCAATGTAACGAATCAGCTCATGACAGGAAATATGAATAATTAACCATAAGCTGTGGACACTGAATGACTCGCCTGAGGTAAATGTAATGCTACGTGACATATTGTTTACATGCCTAGTGAACTTTTATTAATGGATCAGCAGATCAAGTAAACATTAAAATATCCATCTTGGCATTTAAAAATTTATATTGATTTGTTAAAATGAAGGTATATAAAATTAGGATTTAGGGTGCTTTCACACCTGGCCTGTTGTTTCGGAACCTGGCGCGTTTCCCACCCTTAGCTCGGTTCATTTGGGCATATGTGAACACAGCAATCGCGCTCAGATCCGCGCCAAAACAATCGGTCAGAGATCGCCTGAACGAGGTGGTCTCGGCTCGATTGAAAACAAACTCTGGAGCGGTTCGGTTGTAGTGAGAAAGCAATCCGATCTAACGGACCAACGAACCAGGCTATATCACAATGTATAATGGGTAATTACGTAAGTTCCATGAAAAGCATTTGTTTTGCTAATACTTCAAAATGAACCTGTAAATGTCTTTGGGTGAGCACGTCTTCGCCATTCAAAACCAAAGCGCACTTTTTCATTTTATAATGCCGTCTTATTGCTCTTCTTCCTAGTATGTGCATTTAAAAAAAAGTTTTCCCGATGATTCCTGGACTCCTGCTCAAAGTGATAAATTAATATAATGACATCTACAAAAAAAAACAACAACAATAAGTCTGCGAAGCTGATGTCGTTCCATCCTGACAGATGACAGCTGTGACAGCTAGTGGAATCCCGGAAAATAAACCATGGAACTTTGACCAATGAGAGAACAGTTTACTCGCGCGTGACATGTATTAACACATTTGGTGAGTTTAGAAACATTGCCATATGAAAGCGAACCGCACCAAGAATAAAAAGCAACATTGTAATAATTTGAATCCCTGTTTCGGAACAAAACAATCGATCTACAGGTGTGAAAGCACCCTTAGTTTCACAGTGCAGTGGATAAAATATGCTGTAAATATGCGGTACACATGCTTACCTCACTGAATGCATATACCGTTATATGCCTTATATTTTATATTTGATTGTGCTACCAACAGAAAGTATTGTAATTTTATAAACAACATTTCTCTTACTTCTATCTTGGATGTATTTTTGTGGTGAATATGTTTGTGTTACACTGTATGTACTGCATGTGGCATATGTATGCAATGCTACCTTAGAATTTGTATTTAAAAAAGTTATCTTTCCTACCTTTTGGAACACCTTTCATTTTGGAAGCGTGGTGCCGGTGAAGCCTTAAAATGTTTGCTACTGTACATAAGCAGAGCCTATATTTATTTCTTTAATTAATATATTGTGGAGTTTAGCAATTGCTGGGGAATCTTATGTTGTCTATTTTACTAACCATTCTATCCAGGTAAGAACCAATTCAACCAAGCAAAATAGAATCCTAAGAGACATTCTGCAGCAGATTTATCAGTGAATGCAACAGAATCAACATTCAGCTCTTAAATGTCAGCTCTAGATTTAGCTGTGTAAGTTGCCACAGGGGTTATATAACATACACGCCCATTCCTCCAGGCACCTCTCATATTTGGAGGATCTCAATGATTTCTTTGAGAAAATAAACAATTCCTTCAAGAACCCTCCCATGACTCATAAAACCTGTGAATCAAAGTCAACACAGTCTCATATGAACATGTTCATCAAATTACACTCTTGTGCTTTTCAGTAGCTTTGCAAATAGGCCCATGTCATCACAGCATACTGTATTTTTCATAACGTATATTCATGATTGCATCAGTGCTTAGTGTAATGGTTCATAAAACTGTAATTTAATTGAATATGGCCTATTGACAAAAGTCTGAAGTATGCATTTTCTGTTTTCTTATATTTTAGAGTAAATGTAGAATAAACATTGTATGACATGAAAATGTAATTATAACTAACTGAATTTACATTTTATTTGTTCACCCCTAAATAAAAATGTGTATTAAGGACTATTAAGTACTAATGCTACTAAAACAATCCATATGACTTACGTACTTGTGTATTTTCTAGTCTTTTAAAGTTGTGTGATATCTTTGTGTGAGAACCAGACTGAAAATTAAGTCTATGTGATGAAAATATTCATCACACTTGGTTTAACATATGAAAATGCTAATTTGAATATAAGCGTCAGAGCTTCATATGTGGCCTAGTAGTTCCAGGAATGTTGAGCTTTGGAGTTTATACAGAAGATGCAAGATTTAATCTGGCCTGTATTACGGTCGCGTTCACAAGAAAAAAAAATCTCCTGACTACTATTAAATTCATTTCTAATGATGAATATCTTTTGTACTGGACTGATCAAACAAACAACACTGGATTGGTATGTCTGTAAAGATGAATGCTGGTGGAGACATCTTTGCCTCCAAGCATTCAGATGAGTTCCCAAGGCTGATTGGCCTTCAGGAGAATTTTCTTTAACATAGTTAGCAGATTTTTAAAATGGGGACCCCAAATACAGATTCACTTACCACCCCCATCTCCACTGTATGTGTCCTGCACATTATTGTAAAGTGTTTATTTCTTATTTCTTATCTTTGATTATATACAAGATATGAAGATCTGTCACATGTATCCTCTGTTTTAGTTTCATTTTCATGGACTCTTAGGGTGCTTCTCAAAGGGAAGGCTGGATATCTCGGCTGCCATGTCATCAATAATATAAGGATTTGTAATAGAAAGTATTTTTCCAAAAATAAGTTGTATAAGTATTTTGTCATTATCTTGACGTATAGCCATGCAGACTTACTAGACAATCTCATTCTAGCATTTAATACCGAGGAGTACTCTAGCCTACAAGCCTCAGAAGGACTGATCAAGGAAGAATGCAGCCCTCCGTTTGAGAAGCACCCTTAGTTTGTTTCTCTTCAGTTCCTGATTACTTTGTTCTCTTTTCCCGCCGTAGTTAGTCACCATATTTTTTTTGTTAATTAGATCACACCTGTTTGTATTCTGTACATCATCTTGTGCATTTAAGTCCCTCAGTTTTTTTTTCCCCCTTTGTGGCATTTATTGTTGTGTTGTGTTGTACATGCTGTTTTCGTTTGGCTTCTCATCAGCGGATTACCTGGTTCTGTTTTATTAAATACCTTTTTGTTACTTGAACCCTTTTTGGACTTTCTTCTTTGGACTAAAATGTGACAACTGGTTTTTACTTTGGAAGCAAACTGGAAAGATTTTGAAATATTTTAACAGTTGCTTAAAATGTATTACATTTAGTGAAATTAATGCTTAAATCAAGTGATAACATCTTCCAATGGATCAGAAAAATGAACTTAAAACAAAATCATTTATTTTATTCCTTTTGGTTGTTTAATTACTCACTCACAGAGCTACTTTTGTCTATGTATGTGTGAATCCATCATGTAGCTCTTATATACTGTGTGTGTGTGTGTATATATATATATATATAT